AAAAAGAATCCATTTAAGAAAATACCTTCCAGAAGCTAAGCATTCCCCTCTGAATGATGTATTTCTTCACAGTTAACATATTATATACTATAGCTAATTTTGAGGTTGTTTGTACTTAAAATATGGTTAAATCAAACACATAACATGACTTAATATGCAAAATTCTGGGCAATGCTGAGAGTTTAAGGAACACACCTATAATCCCAGCAACTAGGGAGGCTAAGGCAGAACTGAAAGTTCAAAACCAGCTTAGGCAATGTAGTGAGGCCCTAGGTAACTTGGAGAACCTGTCTCAAAAATAAATAAAATAAAAAGGGCTGGGGACATCCCTTAGTGGTTAATCATTCAATCCCCAGTACCAAAAAAGTCTTATTTCGGGGGCTGGGGTTATGGCTCAGCGGTAGAGCGCTCGCCTAGTATGAGCAAGGCCCTGAGTTCAATCCTCAGCACCACATAAAAATAAAATAAAGATATTGTTTCCAATTACAACTAAAAATTATATAAATAAAAGAAGTATTATCTCTTTAAAAAAAAAAAGTCTTATTTCTTTTTTTCTTTTCTTGTTTTTTTTTTTGGGGGGGCGGTACTTGGGATTGAACTCAGGGCACTTAACCACTGAGCTACATCCCCAGCCCTATTTTGTATTTTTTATTTAGAGACAAGGTTTCACTGAGTTGCTTAGCACCTTCCTTTTGCTGAGGCTGGCTTTGAACTCTAGATCTTCTTGCCCTCAGCCTCCTGAGCTGCTGGGTGGAGAGCACCACAGAGCTCAATCAGAAATCCTATTTCAAAGGTTATTAGTTCAATGCTGAACAAAAAAATTAAGATAGTCAAATTCACTGTCATCTTCTGGCTTTTCTAATAAATAGAAAAGGAAGAAATTCTCAATTCACTGAGAGTTAAGTCCTCGGAAATGTATGTTAAAAAACAATGTTGGGGGCTGGAGTTGTGGCTCAGTGGTACAACATTTGCCTAGCAGGTGTGAGACACTGGGTTTGATCCTCAGCACCACATTAAAAAAAAAAAAAAGAGGGCTGAGGTTGTGGCTCAGAAGTAGAGCTATTAAAAAGAGAATAAAAATAAAGGTATCATGTTCATATACAACTAAAAAATATTTTAAAAAAAGAAACAATATTAGCTGGCACGGTGGCACACACCTGTAATCCCAGCAGCTCAGGAGGCTGAGGCAGGAGGATCAGAGTTCAGAGCCAGCTTCAGCAACTTAGTGAGGCCCTAAGCAACTCAGCAAGATCCTGCCTCTAAATAAAATGTAAACAAAAGGGCTGGAGATGTGGCTTGGTGGTTAAGACCTCTGGGTTCAATCCCTGCTATCAAAAAACAAAAACAAAACAAAACAAAAAACCCCACAATGTTGGCAGGAGCATGAATCAGACATAACCTTCCTTTGTTGACATAAGAACATACCATCATGTGCATCCACAAGAATGGAATCCTAATTAGAATAAGTTATACTCCATGTATATATAATATGTCAAAATATACTATACTGTCATGTATATCTAAAAAGAACAAACAAAACACAATGTTGGAATAGATTTTTCCAAGTATCTTCAAGAGGCTGGTGATGGAGCCCAAGGGCAGAGTATTTGCCTAATAACACACACACTCACACACACACACACACAAAAAAAAAAAAAAAAAGTACCTTCAAAACTATTTATTTCAAACTGTAGAATCACCCTCTTTTATGTTCACAGTGACTTCATCTTAATTGTAAAGCAAAAGGGACTTTTGTTTGGAAAGATAAGAAAATATTTAAAGGTAGTTTAATGAAAGAACTTTAATGTTCCCAATCTTAAACCTATAATGTTGAGGCCACTTCTACAATCCTGAATTACATACCTTACACCATCGTACTATGATGCCTCCAGGTTTCTCTATTAGTTCTTCTATCTGCACTGRTGGGCGAGAGGCTACTGTTCCATGCTTAAAAATGTGATCTTTCACTATGTTAAGAATTGAATCATCCAACTGAGCAGATAAACARGGCACATCAACCAGTAAAGGCACTTCTGGTAAGCTGAGGAAACAAAGCTCATGTGTTTATGAGGCTTTTAACCTAAATTAAAACTAGAATAAAGTTAAAGATATAAAAAATATTTTAGATTAGCAACATCCTAGAAGGGTCCTGACGTCCTTGGTAAATAATTCTTGTGACAGTGGGGGACTTTGTGGTGAAGGCCTTTTATCTTCATAAAGATTACATAATAGGGCTGGGATGTAGCTCAGAGGCAAAGCATCTGGTTGCATTCATAAAGCCCTGAGTTCAACCCCCAGTTCCAAAAAAAAAAAAAAAAAAGATTACATAACAATTGTCTTCTCAAATAAACAGGGGCAAAAACTGGTAGGATCACAACTGTCAATTTATACCAAAAGATCTGCTTTACTAAAATATGTATCAATTTCAATTATATATTCAGAATCCTGTCCCCGGAGAGTTCATGCTAATTTTCTCTGAATTATTCCAACTTTAGTGTATATGCTGCCTAAAGCAAATACAACAATTCTCTTCTCCACTGAAATTGAAAAAAAAAAAATCTATAGTATTATGATGCCAAAGATTTATAATCACAACTATTTGATGCTAATACTAATGATAATGAGTAATGACACTTTGAAAACTTTATTCTCTATCCCCCTTAATCAGAATCTTTAATGGGGACAAAAGAAGACATAGTTTAAATGTTTAAAAGTCAGTCCAGCTAGGCGCAGTAGTGCACACCTGTAATCCTAGCTGCTTGGGAGGCTGAGGCAGGAGGATCGTGAGTTCAAAGCCAGCCTCAGCAAAAACAAGGTGCTAAGTAACTCCATGAGACCCTGTCTCTGAATAAAATACAAAATAGGGCTGGGGATGTGGCTCAGTGGTTGAGTGCCCCTGAGTTCAATCCCTGGTACCTCCCCCACCCCCAAAAATAGTAAATCCAGATGAGCATAGTACCACACATCTGTAACCCAGCTACTAGAGAAGTTGAGACAGGAGGTTGGCAAGTTCAAAGCCAGTCTAGCCAAATTTAGTGAGAACCTGTCTCAAATTTTTAAAAATAAAAAATGTCTGAAGTGGTAGTTCCAGTTGTAGAGAACTTGCCTGGCATGTGTGAGGCCTTTAAAATAATCCTTAATGCCACAAAAAGAAAAAAAAAAGTCAAAAAGTCAAAAACTCTTTTACCTGTCCAACTGAATGTGTGAGGCCTTTTTGGTAAAGCTCCAAAGTTTCTCATTCTGTTCTTCTATGCCACCAAGAATGGCGATCTCACCTACAATCAAGAGAAAGAACTATTACAGTGAAAAATGGTCACACAACTAGTATAATCAACACAACCACTATCTACCTGGGTTTTCAGTTTTCTTGCAAAAAATTCCTAAGTGACAYCATAATCAATTTCCTAATATGTAAAAGTAGAAACTATTTAAGAAGTGACTTTATTAGTAAGCCTAAGAAGGGAAAATGGAACATTTTGCCAGATTAGTGATTCTGCTCTAAAAAAGTAAAATTGGTTTGACAATCAATTTTACACAAACCAGCAGGCTCAGGAACTTCTGTCCCCCTCTCCTAGAGAATCTTAGCAGATCAGAAATTACACAACAGAACAACAAAAAAGAAATGCTATGGGGCCGGGGTTGTAGCTCAGTGGAAGAGCACTTGCCTAGCATGTGTGAGGCACTGGGTTCAATCCTCAACACCATGTTTAAATAAATAAAATAAAGGTC